CATACTCAGGTGGAACGTGCAATGCGGGCACCTGGTTTGGACTCTCCACCGAGGTAGCCCCTACGGAAACGCCCAAACATCTACCCACACACTGAGCAGACCACTCCATCAGAGCCCTCTCCTGCCACGAAATCGCTGGGTTATGGGTACTCAACCAGGGCATGCCCAGCACCACCGGATACGCAGGAGAGTCAATCAGGAACAGCTGAATCATCTCCTGATGATCCCCCTGCGCACACATCCTAAGTGGCGCCGTGACCTCCCTGATTAAGCCCGTACCCAACGGACGACTATCTAGGGCGTGAACGGGAAAAGGAACATCAACAGGAATGAGGGGAATCCCTAACGCTAAACAAAACTTTTTATCAATAAAATTCCCAGCCGCGCCTGAATCTACCAGCGCCTTATGCTGGGAATGAGGTGCTACCTGTGGAAAACATACAGGCATACAAAAATGGGCAACAGTGAGCTCTGGGTGAGTGGGGCGCCTACTCACCTGGAGGGAATCCCCAGTGCGGGACCTGTCGTCATCTCCCCTAGGAGGCCATCCCCAGCACCTAGCCGCGGTGTGTCCTCCCCGACCACAGTTGGTGCAGTGGATGGACCCCCTAGCCTGCCGACTCCTCCTCTCTCTAGCGCCAGCGCCCCCGAGCTCCATAGGACACGGCTCGGAGGCGCTGGAGGGTGGAATGGACGGACCCTCCGCAGGACGTCCGCGGGTAGCCAGCAGGGTATCCAGCCTGATGGACATATCAACCAGCTGGTCGAAAGTGCGGCTGGTGTCCCTACAAGCCAGCTCCCGACGGACGTCCTCTCGTAGGCTACATCGGTATAGATCGATGAGGGCCCGATCATTCCACCCTGCATCTGCCGCTAGAGTACGGAATTCGAGCGCGAATTCCTGGGCACTTCTCCTCCCCTGCCGGAGGAAGACCAGACGCTCCCCCGCCGCTTTCCCCTCCGGGGGATGGTCAAACACCGCCCTGAAGCGGCGGGAGAACTCGGTGTACGTAATCGTCGTGGCGTCGATCTTCCTCCACTCCGCGTTGGCCCACTCCAACGCTTTTCCGGCCAGGCAGGAGATCAGGGCGGACACGCTCTCATGCCCTGAAGGTGCCGGGTGCACTGTGGCCAGGTATAGCTCTACCTGGAGCAGGAATCCCTGACACCCAGCCGCGGTCCCGTCGTAGGCCCTCGGGAGAGATAGTCGGACTCCTCGAGGTTCCGGCGCTGGAATGGGCGGGCTGGCCGATGGTGCTGGCAGGGCGGGCGGCGGTGGAGGCGAACCCCAGCCTCGGAGTGTGGAAATCACCTCCTGCAGGGCGGTCCCCATCTGCAGGAGCTGCTCTTGCTGGTCCCGAACCTGGGCTTCCAGTCTCGTCTGGGCTGCTTCGGCTCCTGCTGATTCCATTGGAGGTGTGTGATTCTGTCAGGGCGTGTTGTAGGTGTAGTGTAGGAATCAAACGCAGGACGCAGACTGAATGTTCCAAAGGCTGTAATACTGGCCCAACACAGGCAACAGGACAACTAAGCCCGACAGCAAAAACACGCACGAAGGCGAAAGGTAAATGCGCACTAACAGGTGCGACAAAATGTAACGGTGCACACACAAGTGCAAATAAGCTCCAGCACAGTGGAGAAATACGCTCAACCGAGCAAAACACAACACTGACGGAAACAATCACACACAACACTAGACAAACACAACGAGAAACTTATAGGACACTAATTACGTCAAAACAGAAACAGGTGTGGAAACAAACAGACAAAAGCAAACGAACATGAAACATATAGCGGTGGCAGCTAGAATTCCGGAGACGACGAACGCCGAAGCCTGCCCGAACAAGGGAGAGAGGCAGCCTCGGCCGAAACCGTGACAGAAGCTAAAAAGAGAAAAGGGGTAGACTAAATATGTGACATGGTCTGGAAGGTACCCAATTCATGTTTATGCCATGCTTACTGTAAATTGAGCTATCTTAGCAGTCAGCTTGTAAAATTTTTTGCCAACTTACCTTCACCTTGTGTAGAGCTAGGGGTTGGAAGCACATACTGGTGGAATCAGATTCTGTACCACAAAACACATAGCAATACACAATTTATCCACCCCACTAATTGTATTGATCTCTATTAGACTGGCTAGCTTAGCACACCTAACATGGCCATTTCAATAGTCAGCTTGCTGTTAGCTAGCGTCACTAAATTGGTAGCAAGATTGCTAGCCAGCTGAGAAACAACTAACCAACCATAGACTACTTATACACATTCATCATTGCTACCAACACACAAACAGAGCGTGAGTTAGCTATATCGACAATCCTGTTTTTAGTAACGGAGTGTTTTCCAGACAATCGTGGAATAGATGGCACCCAGATTGAGCTACTCTTATTTGCTAACGTTAGCTAGCTTATGTTAGCTAACGTTAGTCAAAGACAGAACGAACTAACAAACATGTTTACTCTGCTGAAGGTATCAGTCTAGCAGTGACTAACTTGGCAAATGCAAAATTGATTGGCAGTGTGTGTCCAAAAGATAGCTATCTATATGATTTAGCTGATGGCTTTCAGAGTTCAATACAATACTATAACGTTAGCTAGCTAGCTAGCTAATTTACCTAGTCCAGCTAGGCTAGCATGCTAGCTACCGTTACGTTATCTCTAATCGGGAATCTTCCATATTTGTTGTGAAGGGGAAAAAAACGATGGTTTCACATCACTTCTCAGCTGTTGTCAAAATGGATTCCCCATCTGTTCAGCCTGAAAAAATCCCTCTGATAATCTTTACTCAACGTAAGCATCATTCTTGATAGCCGCAAGCCACTGGCAGCATCAGGGTAAATCTCTGGTAGGTAGAAAGGTGAAAAATAACTCATTTTCGCACTTGTTTGTAATTAGCACAGCCAGACTAAAAACACCACACTGGCATGATGACAAACGTTAATTAAAAACAAACGTAAAAAAAAGAAGTTCTGAGATTACTGTGTGTTGGTCATTCGAAGTAAACAATTATCCAAGTTTGTGGGCACGCCCCATCTACCTAGAAGGCGGTATCTGCATTCGCTATGAATGCTGGACTTTGTGGTTCACTATGAGCAGCTGAATACACAGGAAGTCGAAACTTCCCGATTCTACCAGTGAAATGAAAATGCACTTGTTCTAGCTTGTGGTTTGGATAATTTTGATGTTTATGACAAAAACCTAATGTTGTTAATGTAGTAATGGCTATATGATGTGGAAGAGCCAGGGTGAAATTTATTTTTAAGTGAAAAAGTCATCACACACTGATTTTTATCTGCAACAAGTCCATTTGGTGGAAACACACCACTGGTGGGAAAATGTGCATATTATTCGCATGAAAATCTGTCGGCAATTGGATGGAAACCTAGCTATAGAGAACAATGATTTATGCTCCAGCACACCACGATGGACTTCACTGTGGATGATGGCGACGGATGAATGGCACGACAATGGGCCTCAGGATCTCGTAACGGTATCTCTGTGCATTCAAATTGCCATTGATAAAATGCAACTGTGTTTGTTGTCCCTAGCTTATGCCTGCCCATACCATAACCCAACTGCTAACATGGGGCAATCTGTTCACAATGTTCACATCAGCAAACCACTCGCCTACACGACGCCATACACGCTGTCTGCCATCTGCCCAGTACAGTTGAAACCAGGATTCATCCATGAAGAGCACACTTCTCCAGCGTACCAGTGGCCATCGAAGGTGAGCACTGCAGTCAGGTCAAGACCCTGGTGAGGATGATAAACACGCAGATGAGCTTCCCTGAGATGGTTTCTGACAGTTTGTGCAGAAATTATTCGGTTGTGCATACTCACGGTTTCCCCAGCTATCCGGGTGGCTGGTCTCAGACGATCCTGCAGGTGAAGAAGCCGGATGTGGAGGTCCTAGGCTGGCGTGGTTACATGTGGTCTGCGGTTGTGAGGTCGGTTGGACGTACTGCCAAATTCTCTATAACAACGTTGGAAGCGGCTTATGGTAGAGATATTAACATTCAATACTCTGGCAACAGCTCTGGTGGACCTTCCTGCAGTCAGCATGCCAATTGCACGCTCCCTCAAAACATGAGACATCTGTGGCATTGTGTTGTGTGGCAAAACTGCAGATTTTAGAGTGGCCTTTTATTGTCCCCAGCACAAGGTGCACCTGTGTAAAGATTATGCTGTTTAATCAACTTCTTGATATGCCACACCTGTCAGATGGATGGATTGTTTTGGCAAAGTAGAAATGCTCACTAACAGGGATGTAAAAACATTTGTGCACAAAATGTGAGTGACAAATAAGCTTTTTGTGCATATGGAAAGTTTCTGGGATCTTTTATTTCCGCTCATGAAACATGGGATCAATTATTTACATGTCGCATTTATATTTTTGTTCAGTATACCTATTGAAAGCCAATTCTACCTGCTGTCCTAGATAGCTTTTCAGCTGTCCTTAGATTATGCTGAGAAACAAGACCAAACACATAGATTCTACTGATTAAGCCTTTCAAATCAATGTCCTAGTAGGAGGATACATGTTTATTTTTGGAAGCATGCATCTCTTTCCTGCCAATGACACTCTCTTTGATTTGCACTGGTAGTGATCTTCAAAAAAAGAATGTTTGCTAAATAGTATGAGAGAGAAATAGCACATATTGGGTGAACTTCAGCACAATCAGACTACTGAACCAAATGCAATGCCAGGTACAGTACATTTCAGAAATAGTTGATGGGTTTCAAGGGTTTGTAGTATAATAATGACTGGATTACTTTAAATACACACTGGATGCATATACTGTAGATATATCAACACAATAGTGCTCTGTCAAGTTACAATACAAGTATTTGGCTAATTAGCTAGATAGGTAAACTAATTTACTCACATTTGAACCCAAATACACTTATTCACTCTTCAAGTGTGTAGAAATTACATTTTAACTAAGTAATTACTCATGGAATATTCTCAGAGGACTATACGCCTCCCTGCTGTAACCCTCAGAATACAGTGACCCGCTTGCTGCCTCACTGTCACATCTGCTCCTGCAACGCCCTCTACTGCTCATCCTGTGTCTCCTTGACCTGCCGCCACTCCCCCGTACTCTCTCCCTCTCCCTCTCTCTCTCTCTCTCTCTGTGGGTGATTGTGTGGGTGGAGACAGGTGTGCTGGAGTCAGAGCAGATCCCCACCAGCTGCAACATGTTCCATAATCAAGACCTCTACAAATACTCAGTCCTGCCACTTCCACACTGCCAGATCGTAAACTCTGCTCAGTCAGTCTACGGTTCTAGCCGTTTGTTACTATTCAGATCCTGTTTTCCTTGCCTGACGCTGCTTTCCTCTCCGCTACAGTTCTGCCCGCTCCGACTCTGGTCCCTGTCTCCAGTCCTACGTCTCGTCATCCTGCTACTCTGTCCTGGATTCCCCACTCTACTACTCCCTTGGATTCCCCTCCAGACCTGCTCACCTGTCTCAACCCCCCTCGCTCCAGCCTCAGCCTCCTCACCTGGTTTCCAGCAGTTTCCCCTGACCTGCACTCCATCTTCCCCCTGTGTTTCAATAAATACCTTGGTTACTTCATCCCAGTCTCCACGTCTGAGTCTGCTCTTGGGTTCCCCTGTTCCACTCCGCGTAACAGTACAATCTGGCCGTGTAGAGATGAACCCAGCAGACACTGCTACTCTCCACCAAACCCTCGTCCGCCAAGGCGCCCTGCTCGAGCAACATGACCAAGCCCTGAAGACCCTTCTGGAGCACATCAAGGAATTTTCACAGAGCCTGTCTGACCTACAGGACCGACCCTTCGCCCAGAGCTCACAACCAGTTCCAAGTCCTTCTCCCCCAGCTCTGGGAGCCGTTTGTTTCCGACTCCCGAGCGTTACGATGGCAACTTCGGAGCTTGCAGAGCCTTTTTGGTACAATGTTCACTAGTATTTGAGCAACAGCCCTACTCTTATGCTAGCGAACGGGCCAAGATTTCCTTTCTGATTGGCTGCCTCCGTGGAGCAGTGCGGTGTGGGAGAGACAGTCCCCCATCTGCTTCTCCTACTCCAGATTCCCGGAGGAGATGAAGAAATTCTTCAACCACCCGGTCTGCGGTAAGGATGCCACTAAACGACTCCTGTCCCTCCGTCATAGTGTTGCTGAGATGACATGTGAGTTCCGCACCCTCGCCGCTGAGAGCAGCTGGAATGAGGAGAACCTTCAGGGAGCATTCCGGAACGCACTCACTGAGACCCTCAAGGACGAGTTGGTGTCCAGGGATGAGCCTGATGGACTTGATGAACTCATCTCTCTCACTATCCGCATCGACAACCGTCTCCGTGAGCGTCGGAGGGAGAGGGTAGGTAGGGTTGCATGTCCCATTACATCTGCTTCAGTGCCTTGTCCTCCTTCTCCAACTGCATCCCATCCTCAGGCTCGTCCAGATCCTGAACCCATGCAGCTCGGCCGGGCCTGTCTCTCTCCAGAGGAGTGGCAACGACGAATCGGCGCTAGGAGCTGCCTATACTGTGGCCAGGTTGGTCACATTGTCTCCACTTGTTCTCTGCGTCCAGCAAAAGAGGGGGCTCGGCAGCAGTGGAGGATATACTGTTGAGCCAAATCGCCTGCCCATCTTCCCCCAGACCCCTGCTTGAAGGCAACCTTGTGTGGCAGAGCCAGGCTTTTCCTCTGTCTGCTCTCATCGATTCGGGCACCGACGAGAGCTTCCTGGACCGAGGTGTCGTTACACAGTTGGGCCTGGACACTGTCCCACTCGATTCACCCCTCGATGCCAACGCTCTCAATGGACAGCTTCTCACCCGTGTCTGTGAGAGAACCGTCCCTGTAATTCTGCGTCTCTCTGGAAATCACCAGGAAAAGATCAGTTTCCACATAATCGACTGTCCTTACTCTCCCCTGGTTCTTGGCCATCCATGGTTAAAGCTACACAACCCACAGATTGACTGGACCGCCGGAAAGGTAATCACTTGGAGTTCATTTTGTCACTCTAATTGTTTACATTCTGTCCTTCCCCCTGCCTTGTCTGTGCCCTAGTTCATTCCAGAACCTCCTGACCTGTCATCAGTTCCTCCCAAGTATCACGATCTAGCTCCTGTGTTCAGCAAGCACCACGCCCTCTCGCTGCCGCCTCATCGGTCGTACGACTGCGCCTTTGACCTCCAGCCTGGAGCTCCTCTCCCCAGTAGCTGGTTGTTTAACCTTTCTCGTCCCGAGAAAGAGGCTATGGAGAGGTACATCCAGGATTCTCTGGCTGCAGGATTTATCAAGCCATCTTCCTCCCCGGTGGGTGCTGGGTTTTTATTTGTGAAGAAGAAGGATGGGTCACTGAGGCCGTGCATAGACTTCCGTGGTCTGAATAATATCACTGTTAAGAACAAGTACTCCTTGCCACTCATCAGCTCTGCTTTTGTCCCCCTCCGTGGTGCCACGGTGTTTACCAAACTCGACCTCCGGAATGCCTACCACCTTGTCCGCATAAGAGAGGGAGACGAGTGGAAGACTGCGTTCAACACACCACTTGTTCACTTTGAGTATTTGGTCATGCCTTTTGGTCTTACTAACGCCCCTGCTGATTTCCAGAACCTAGTCAATGACATGCTGAGGCATGTGATTGGACGCTTCGTTTTTGTCTATTTAGATGACATCCTGATTTTTTTCCAAGGACCCTGAGGCTCACCAGCAACAGGTTCGCCAAGTTCTTCAACGGCTGTTGGAGAATAAGCTTTTTGTTAAAGCTGAAAAATGTGAGTTCCATGCTGCCACAAGGTCTTTCCTGGGTTATATTATTGCACAGGGACAGTTACGTATGGACCCCGCCAAGGTCATGAGAGTCACAGAGTGGCCTGAGCCCTCCAACCTGAAGCAGCGACAGCGTTTCCTGGGGTTTGAACATTTTTACAGACGTTTCATCCGCAACTACAGCCGTCTGGCAGCACCTCTCACCTCCACCTCCACTCCGTTCCACTGGACTCCTGAGGCAGAGGTAGCATTCCTGGAACTAAAACGTCACTTCACCTCCGCTCCGGTCCTTACTCAGCCCGACCCAGAACTCCAGTTCATCGTGGAGGTGGACGCCTCTGACACCAGGGTAGGTGCTGTTCTGTCTCAACGTTCCCCCTCTGATCAGAAGGGCCACCCATGTGCATTCTTTTCCCGTAAGCTCTCACCGGCAGAGAGGAATATTTACATTGGAAACCGGGAACTCCTGGCAGTTAAGCTGGCTCTGGAGTTATGGCCTCACTGGCTGGAGGGCTCTGTAACCCCCTTCATCGTGTGGACTGACCATAAAAACCTGTCCTACATCCAGACCACCAAACGTCTGAACTTCCGGCAAGCCAGGTGGGCCTTGTCCTTTGGTAGATTCAATTTCACACTCACTTATCGCCCCGGTTCGAAGAATACCAAGCCTGATGCCCTCTCTTGCCAGTTCACCACCGACAACATGGGAACCGAGCCAGAAGCCATTGTGCCATCCACCTGCATCGTTGCCGCCATCACCTGTGAGATTGAGTCCCGTATCCGCCAGGCTCAGCAGAACCAGCCTGATCTGGATAACGGTCCTAGTAATGCTCTGTTTGTCCCAGATTGTGTTCGCTCTGATGTTCTTCAGTGGGGCCATTCTACCCACCTCACCTGTCACCCTGGTATGAACTGGACCCTCGCATTCCTGCGTCAGCGCTTTTGGTGGCGAGAGATGTCCGGGAGTTTGTCTCCGCCTGTTCGGTTTGTGGCCGGAACAAAACCTCCACTAAACCCACTTCCGGTCTGCTCCGCCCTCTTCCCATACCCAGTCGCCCCTGGTCACACATAGCTCTGGACTTCGTCACTGGCCTTCATCCATCTAACGGTAACTCCGTCATCCTCACCATTATTGACAGGTTTTCCAAAATGGCTCACTTCATTCCCCTCTCCAAGCTCCCATCCTCCAGGGAGACTGCGGACCTGTTAGTATCCCATATGTTTTGTCTGCATGACATCCCCTCTGACATCATTTCCGACAGAGGACCCCAGTTTACCTCCCAGGTATGGAGATCCCTCTGTCCAGCTCTTGGTATCAATGTCAGTCTTTCTTCTGGATATCACACCCAGACCAACGGCCAGACCCAACGGGCCAACCAAGAGATGGAGACTGCCCATGAGTTCTGCTAACCCTTCCTCCTGGAGCACTCAGCTACCCTGGGTTGAATATGCCCACAACACCCTCACCAACGCCTCGTCAGGTATGTCACCCTTCGAGTGTGCTCTGGGTTCCCTCTGTCCAGGACCATCTGCGCCGTTGTCACCGTACCAGGAGGAAGGACCGGGCTGCCCTTCTTCGTGCCTCCGACAGGACCCAGTCCCAAGCCAACCATCGCCGGGCCTCAGCTCCAGTCTACACCCTGGGTCAAAAGGTATGGCTCTCATCGAAGGACCTGCCATTGAAGGTGGCATCGAAGAAACTTTCCCCCCGATTCTTTGGTACCCTTTGAAATTGACCGTGTCATTAACCCCTCTGCGGTGCACCTGAAACTCCCAGCCTCTCTCAGGATCCATCCTACCTTCCACGTCTCCCTGATTAAACCTGTCTGCTCCAGTCCCCGGTCTCCTCCTGCAGCAGGTCGTCCACCCTTCAGCTCATCGATGACCATCCTGCCTATACAGTCCGGCGGCTTCTGGATGTGCGCCATCATGGCTGGCAGTACCTGGTGGACTGGGAGGGATACGGGCCTGAGGAGCGCTGCTGGGTGCCCCGCCGTCACATTCTGGACCCCTCCCTCTTACGGGATTTCTATATCTCACACCCAGATAAGCCTGTGGTCGGAGAGAGAGGGAGGGGGGGTACTGTCACATCTGCTCCTGCAACGCCCTCTACTGCTCATCCTGTGTCTCCTTGACCTGCCGCCATTCCCCCAGTACTCGCTCCCTCTCCCTCTCTCTCTGTCTGTGTGTGTGTGTGGGTGGGTGGAGACAGGTGTGCTGGAGTCAGAGCAGATCCCCACCAGCTGCAACATGTTCCATAATCAAGACCTCTACAAATACTCAGTCCTGCCACTTCCACACTGCCAGATCGTAATCTCTGCTCAGTCAGTCTACGGTTCTAGCCGTTTGTTACTATTCAGATCCTGTTTTCCTTGCCTGACGCTGCTTTCCTCTCCGCTACAGTTCTGCCCGCTCCGACTCTGGTCCCTGTCTCCAGTCCCACGTCTCGTCATCCTGCTACTCTGTCCTGGATTCCCCACTCTACTACTCCCTTGGATTCCCCTCCAGACCTGCTCACCTGTCTCAACCCCCCTCGCTCCAGCCTCAGCCTCCGCACCTGTTTCCAGCAGTTTCCACTGACATGCACGCCATCTTCCCCCTGTGTTTCAATAAATACCTTGGTTACTTCATCCCAGTCTCCTCGTCTGAGTCTGCTCTTGGGTTCCCCTGTTCCACTCCGCGTAACACACACTCTTCTCTCTGCAAGCAAAAGTTGAGTTCTTAGATGTCTTATAAGCCTCCAACTGGTCTAAACCAATGAGGGAGAGGATGATTACTTTGTGTTTTGAGGTCTTTGTATTTCCTGTGGTCTTCTCAGCTGTGTTCAAACACAGCCTACATGAGAGAGACATCAATAAAACATGAAGGAAACCTGTAGGAGTAATGTGTTAGGAAAATATCTGGCAACAGTATAGGTGTTATTTGTGTATGGTGGGACGGGCAGATCAACAGGTGCAAGTGTGTTATGATGTGTGATTATGTGCTAACAGTTATATACTTTGCTGTCCACGACACCACACTAAATCATGATCCTTGTACATAATGCACATCCTCTCGCACTACCAAAGCAATTCATAGTGGGACTTAGGCTAGTACATTGGTATAATCATAGAGAACAACATCATGGGCTGAAAAACGAGCGTGGTGAGGTTTGAAAACAAGCTGAAGACAATAAGGTGAATCAAACTGTAGCCATAGCAGTGACTTCAGTCCTCTCTAAAATGTAGGGGAGGCCAAATAAGTTCATTACTGTGCAGTGGACCTCTGTTAAAACACTGAGAAGAGCCCTTCTGATACTGACAGGGTTGTATGTTGTTGTGACTTTGGGACATAGAGCTGTTTCAAACCAACACACACACACACACACAGACACACACAGGGGCGGAATATTGCAGACAACTTAAGGGCACTATAGCTTTCAACATAAAAAGCAGATGGCTCTCTTTATTTTGGGCAAATCAGCCCCATTATGTGTAGCCTAACTGGATTTTGTGTATAATGAAGCAATTTGATTCATGGGCCAGGGCAGAACAGTGTCTGATGGGCACGCCTGTCTGGTCCGCATGAGGTGGATGGGTTACAAGAAGACATAGGGAGTGTGCCGTGGGTACTTCTAAACTGAGGTAGGCTATAACCAATAATAACCACATCTCTTGGCTAATCGCGCATAGGGCAAAGTGTTTGGTGAATGACATTAAGGTAGCTAGCTACTCACCCCAAAACACTGCAGATTTGGAAACAGACATTTAAAAGTTGTTTTGTGACTGTTTTTCATATTCATTTAGGGAACAGTTATGGTTGCAAAGGTAGTTGAGTGTGCGCAAAAAGTGTTCTTGGGAATTAGCACCTACTGCTGCTGTAGTTTTGGGTCGAGCATCAGTCTGCATCGAAGCACTTGAGAAAGAACAGCGCCTACCTGAGAGTTTGTCGGTAACCGGAAAGCTACCCGGTCCACTGTCACTTTGTCCCGGCTGTACGTGATAAGGGACGAAGTGTTTGAAACACACCTCCGGGTGGGGGGATTTGCTGGTAGGTAGCCAGCACCAATCTGAGAGGGGTAGAATGAGGGGGCGGGAAGGTGAGTTTGAAGAGGGCAGGCTTTCCACGATGACAGCGCTTTCCCTCTCATAATTTCACCCTACCAAAAAACACTTCAAAATCCAGTGGAAAAATATAAGAATTACCGTAGAAGTCAGTTGGACCAAAACAGCCCGCATTGACGCAACGAAAATCTAAAGTCGGAAGAAAATAAGAGCAAGAAGAAACGTTGTTTTCTGGTGAGAATGTGTGTTTTGTGTGTGTCTGGTTGTCAGTAAATTGTTGTGCTATGTTTTGTGTGTGTCAATGTTAATCATTGACAGGCATTGAAAATCATCGTCGTTTCATTCACAAGCAACAACCTGCTGTTTGTGTTGTGCACATAATAGCGTTAAGGTAACAGGTTTCACCTCGCCTTAACCGCAGCAGAGAGAAGTGTATACCTCGGCTTTGAGGTGGTTCTGATTAGAGAATGTGGTGCTCATTAAATGAAAAAGGTGTATTTGTTTTAAGTGGGAAAATGCACATTTACCATGCGGACTATGTGTGCGGTAAGCTTTTTACTCACTTACGTCGGGATATGTTATAGAAAGAGCCAGTTGAATCGACTTACTCAGGACACTGTCTCCTAACCGGCAATGCGACACCAATCCGAAGGCTTACTGTTACTTCTCCTATTGATAAATAAAACATATCTCTATTATTTGTAATACTTTTAAATGTATCCAGACTTGCCAGATAGCCTTTTCCCTTGTGATTTTGTCAAATTATTGGTACAGCAGAGCATCACTGAACATGTAGGATAGGCTACATATCGAATAACCTTGGAATATATCGAAATTATTGCTGTTATCGAGGGTTACTCAGATTTCAGTGATTAGCATATATTTAGACAAATTCTTTAAAATCATACGCCATTACCAACTAGTATATTAACTGATGACATGTAACAGATAGCCGAGTTCATGTTCTCCAAACTGTCCATGAACGACAAAAAAATAAGAAATGAATAAGTTATCTCAATGAGGGATGAAAATGAGTCAAGAGAAAACATCTAATTTTAATGCAACCTTAGGTTTTCATATCGAAGCACTCTCATAAATGTTTGATTCGGAGGAGCTACGTGCATCTGCTCACTGTGACAAAAGGCAATGATGCAGTTCATATACTGTGTGTGTGTGTGTGTCTGTCTGTCTCCGTGTGTGTGTGTGTGTGTGTGTGTGTGTGTGCGCGCGCGTGCACAGTCTAGTAAAAAATATAAAGTAAAAAAATACACAATTGAATGGGTCAGAAATAGGTCTAAGTGAACATTGTAGTCAAAACTAAACTGAAGCCTTAAAAAAGCCCCAAAATGGGTCAGTGCAGATTAAAAATCACATGAAAGATTTCGAGTACAACAAATTCACAGGTTGGAGTGCTGTCTTCTGTACTGAACATGACAGGTTAAGTGCGCTACAAAAACAGCAGAGGAAAGTGGGTCGGCAAGCACCAAAGGGTCTACACCCAGAGAGCCCATTTCTGTCCAGCTGCAGAGCAGGACTCAGGCCTGTCCTCGACCACAGGCCACCAAATACAAAACACTGACCTGAGAGATTTGTCTCGTTCTGCAGCAGAGCAGGGGGGAGGTTTCAACAGTTTGGAAAAACTGTATGCCGATATACTTCTTTATTAGCTTTTCCTCCTCCACTCTTCCTCCTCCTCCGCTTTTCCTCCTCCTCTGCTTTTCCTCCTCCTCCTCCTCCTCCTCCTCCTCCTCCTCCTCCTCCTCCTCCTCATCCTCCTCCTCCTCCAGCTTTTCCTCCTCTACTCCATTCATATTGTCTGAAGGATAGAGTGGACTGATGCTATTTGAAGTCCTTCCCTTATGAGATCACAGAAAGAGGTGCTATACCTCTGACTTTAGTGGATTCGTTTACAATTTAATCTCCCATCAACTTTACTTCTTTAGGCTCCTTTGCCAGCCCATGTTGTTGGCTCCTCCCTGGAAAGAAAACCCCCTGCTATGCTTCAAAGACATACACTACATGACCAAAAGTATGTACAGTCGTGGTCAAACGTTTTGAGAATGACACAAGTATTGGTCTTCACAAAGTTTGCTGCTTCAGTGTTTTTAGATATGTTTGTCAGATGTTACTATGGTATACTGAAGTATAATTACAAGCATTCCATAAGTGTCAAAGGCATTTAATGACAATTAATCACATTAAGTTTATGCAAAGAGTCAATATTTGCAGTGTTGACCCTTCTTTTTCAAGACCTCTGCAATCCGCCCTGGCATGCTGTCAATTAACTTCTGAGCCATATCCTGACTGATGGCAGCCCATTCTTGCATAATCAATGCTTGGAGTTTGTCAGAATTTGTGGGTTTTTGTTTGTCCACCCGCCTCTTGAGGATTGACCACAAGTTCTCAATGGGATTAAGGTCTAGGGAGTTTCCTGGCCATGGACCCAACATGTCGATGTTTTGTTCCCCAAGCCACTTAGTTATCACTTTTGCCTTATGGCAAGGTGCTCCATCATGCTGGAAAAGGCATTGTTCATCACCAAACTGTTCTTGGATGGTTGGGAGAAGTTGCTCTCGGAGGATGTGTTGGTACCATTCTTTATTCATGGCTGTGTTCTTAGGCAAAATTGTGAGTGAGCCCACTCCCTTGGCTGAGAAGCAACCCCTCACATGAATGGTCTCAGGATGCTTTACTGTTGGCATGACACAGGACTGATGGTAGCGCTCACCTTGTCTTCTCCGGACAAGCTTTTTTCCGTATGCCCCAAACAATCGGAAAGGGGATTCATCAGAGAAAATGACTTTACCCCAGTCCTCAGCAGTCCAATCCCTGTACCTTTTGTAGAATATCAGTCTGTCCCTGATGTTTTTTGCAATTCATTGCAATTCATCTGATCACTCTTCATGACATTCTGGAGTATATGCAAATTGCCATCATCAAAACTGAGGCAGCAGACTTTGTGAAAATTAATATTTGTGTCATTCTCAAAACTTTTGACCACGACTGTAGACAACTGCTTGTCGAACGTTTCATTCCAAAATCATGGGCATTAATATGGAGTTGGTCCCCCTTTGCTGCTATAACAACTTTCACTCTTCTGGGAAGGCTTTCCACTAGATGTTGGAACATTGCTGTGGGGACTTGCTTCCATTCAGCCACAAGAGTATTAGTGAGGTCGGGCACTGATGTTGGGTGATTTGGCCTGACTCGCAGTTGGCGTTCCAATTCATCCCAAAGGTGTTCGATGGGGCTGAGGTCACGGCTCTGCGCAGGCCAGTCAAGTTCATCCACACCAATCTCAACAAACCATTTCTGTATGGACCTCGCTTTGTCAGCGGGGGCATTGTCATGCTGAAACAGGAAAGGGCCTTCCCCAAACTGTTGCCACAAAGTTGGAAGCACATAATCGTCTAGAATGTCATTGTATGCTGGAGCGTTAATATTTCCCTTCACTGGAACTAAGGGGCCTAGCCCGAACCATGAAAAACAGCCCCAGACCATTATTACTCCTCCACCAAACTTTACAGTTGGCACTATGCATTGAGGCAGGTAGCGTTCTACTGGCATCCGCCAAACCCAGATTAGTCCGTCGGACTGCCAGAGGGTGAAGCGTGATTAATCACTCCAGAGAACGCGTTTCCACTGCTCCAGAGTCCAATGGCGGCGAGCTTTACACCACTCC